TTACAAATCTTTTACTTGTCCAGAATCAAGACCCATTTGGGAATTAAGGATAAGGAAAGTGTTTGATTCTTTCAGCCAATTCACTGTAATCTGGCATGTATCAGTCAGCAGATCCTTACTGGAAAAAAAGAAGTCATCTAAAAAAATTACTCCAATATTAGGCAAGATGATAACATCAGGAAAAGCTCAGTTGATCAGCACAGCCGATAGCTTTCTAGAAGCCGTGTTTGTATTTGTTTTCTCAGGGCACTTTGATGGGCTCTGGAATGAACTTCCTGAGTTGGAATCTTCCTGATGTGACTTGTTTAGCTGTGAGGTAACATCTGTCAGATGCAGATTACAGAAGCGCTAATCTCCTGGGGTTACTGGGAGCATTAAGAGAGACTATCACAGCCCTAACCAGTTTGGCTCAATGGATAGAGCTTCGGTCTGCGGATTCAAAGGTCCTGGGTTCGATTCCGGTCAAGGGCATGTACCTTGGTTGCAGGCACATCCCCAGTAGGAGGTGTGCGGGAGGCAGCTGATCGGTGTTTCTCTCTCATCGATGTTTCTGACTCTCTGTCCCTCTCCCTTCCTCTCTGTAAAAAATCAATTAAAAAAAATAATAAGAGAGACTATCACAGGGAAAGCATTTAGCATTGTTCCTTGCACTGAGTAAATAATGCTCAATAAATTCAGTTGCTCTTATTTCTACTCAGAATTATTAGTGGTGTGCACTGGGGGTGGCACATACAGGTAATAATGAAAAAAAATTTCATAATACACAGAGAGATACTTGAGTAAAATCCACCCTCTGACTTACTAGCAGGGTTTATCTTGTTAATGGAGGTGCCTGCCCACGGAAGGTACACGGAGTGCGGGATAGGTAGGTGAGGGTGTGGGCCCCCTTCCCTGCCTTGCCCATGAAGGGGCCCAGGTAGGATGCACGAGGATCTGTTGGTAAGGCCGCCTGCAGTTACCAGTGAGCATCAATACCCAGCCCAGGCTTCAGGAGCTAAGAGATGAGCGGTAGTATTTCTCTCGTGTTGTAGTCACGCATGCCTGCCGTGACTGGATAAACTCCTCGGAGGGGACCCCGACTCCTTCGCTCCTCCCGACAGCCCTGTGAGTCCCATAGGGCCGGAGCACTGAGCCCACAACACAGTTACTGAGGGCGCCGCTGGGCTGAAATCTGCATCGTGGCTCCCAGTCGGTGCTGTTTTCACAGCAAGCTCTTCCTTCCACATTGGCTTGAAAATATAGTGTATTAATAGAACATTGGAGGTATAGTAAGGCCAGCAGATCAGGAAACGGCTGCCATTGAAAAGGTAGTTGGTTACTCACATTTCCTTAGAGGACAGACATGCCGCGGGGGGTCTGGGCGGGGAGCTACATGGGGAATCACCGGGTCAGTCACAAGGCAGAGAGAGAGGGAGGAACTGGGCAGGGGCCTGTATTGTGGTTTCTGTGGGAAGGCAGAGGGGCAGGCTTAGCACTGGCCAGATTGGATAGCTTCAGGGGGCTCTGGGCCCTAGGACTGTCCCTGGTTGTCTGGGACCTTTGCAGTGTTTGGGGCAGGTGGATGGTGGCCCAGAGAGTGAGGAGGTTGTGGGGTCTGGTTTGCATTTGAGAAGTACACTCACATTTGAGTTGTTTACCATCTCTGGCAACTGGCTCCCATTGGGGGGGGGGGGCAGCCCCTCCAGGGGCAGCAAGATCCCGATGTCACAACTTCAGAATACAGGAAGTAAAAGGCATGGCTACCACGTCATGGTGTGGCTTCAGTTTGGGGCTAAGCTTCTCAATACCTTCAATAACATATATCCCAGGAATGCGTGTTCAATAACCTGAGAGGATGCTGGGTCTCAGACGACACCCTTCCCCCCCCTCCCCCCCCAAACCCAGTTGATCTCTCCCTTCTCCAGGCCTCTGTTTCCAACTTCCTACCTGGCAACCCCCTTGGATGTAGGCATCATGGGTGTGAATTATTGTCTTTCTCCTCGAAAGCCCTCATCAGCCTGTGCTTTGCACCCATCTGTGAAGCTAGGGATCCGTCAGCCTCAGCACTGCCCCCCTTCTCCAGGTGCACACCTTCTACGGTCATATCCACGTGTCTCAACAGGAGTGAACCCCGCCGTGTAACTTCCTCTTCGACCCACGCTATTCTCTGGATCCACCTGCCTTTGCCAAGATTTCTGTGATTAAGTCTCAACTCAAGTGTGAGACCCTGTTACTTCTCTCCTTATGAAAAAGCCTTGAATGGCTTCCTAGTGATTATAGTCTCAGGTTTAAATCCTGGGCATGACTCCCATACCCTCTTACTGTGGGAGCGGTCAGCCATACTGCGCCCCTGGCTGGGTCTCAGGCCTCAGCTGGCTGCACCCCTTCCCTCCTACCCAGTGAAGGCCCATTATTCCTAAGGCCAAGGCCATGTGTCACCTCTGAGAAGCCATCAGCCCTTCTAACTCA